GTAATTGTCATAAAAAATGTCAATTATATATTATATATTTACGGAAATATATACTCATATATTTAATATATTCTAATATCTCATTATGGAAAGTTATAATTAAATGGACATTATATATGTAATATGTAGTGACACATGGAGCATGATTAGGATGCCTACGTGGATGGTGACATGGATGACACATGTCGTAATTCTAGACCATGAGGGTTTCAATTTATATATTATATAGATTAATTAGGGAGTAGCCTAGGGGCATCATTCTAATTATCAAAGTATTGATGATGATGATAGTATAAACCTTAATTATTGGTCACAAAATTAAGACAGGATCAGATTATGACTACCAGCATTAATGCAAATTTAGAGGTGCATATTATATTATATTATATTATAATGCCCCATCTTCGTGCCTATGTGAACAATTGGCCCACAAAAAAAACATGGTCAAAAATCATCATACCATCAAAACTGGATTGACAATTGACACCTGAACTACTGGTTCAGTAGTTGAAACTTTTCACAACATGTTACATTTTATTCATTCATATGTATATGTATATATATGCTTCTCCTTGATTTTTTTCATTTTACATTGATAAATTGGAAATTTGATTCTTTAATTATTCTGTACTTAGATCAAAAGTCATGCATTAAATTAGAATCCCAAACGACTTTTACAATTATTTTTTATTTTAATCCCACCAGCAATTCTAACTCTTACTAAATTCATCCGTGTAAATAAAAAAATGTTCATAGTTCTGGCAGGTGCGAATTCCCATTTCCCAGCAGATGAATAAATTAAAACAAGAAAGTCAATGTTATTAATGTGATCTTAATCCAATTGGTGTTAATTATTACTTATTAATATAGTGATTAAAGTAGTGTAATCGTAGGATTAGTTTAACTTAAGAAATGGGGTTGCTTTGCAGTACTGAGGTGAATACGGAACAGTTTTGTCGGCCAGATTCTGTATGACTGGGAATTTCGTGGCATCTGCAGGCGGCACAATCGGTGGCGCCGCCGCAGTTGGTGGTTTTTTGGTACTACTGGAATCGTCGGTGGCTGCATTAATTCACTGCTTTGAGTTAATTACTAAGAGTACTTTATTGGAATATCCATTTTCATTAAGTTGCATTGCATCATCAAAAAAATTGATTTCGAGGGTAAATTTGAAAAGAAAAATAAATAAATAAATTATAGTGGCTGCTATTTTAATTAATGTATTTCTAATACATGCAATCCCACAAATTTCACCTTTTTTCCATTATGACTAATACAATTTTTATCTTATAAAAAATCAAAATACCAGCAAATTAACATTATTTTATTTCTCAAAAATAATTACTTCAAAATAAAATGAAATTATGGCCCAAAATCAGGCCAGACATAGTATTATTATTAGCAAAGCTTATTAATTCCTACCAATTTTATATGTCCCACCTTTGTTTAATTTATAAAATAATGGAGTACATTATAAAATAAGTTTAGCAAAGATCGAATATAAGTATCCATCATCAACAGAAAAAATGAAAGCAACTTGTAACTTTTCTTTCTGTTTGGCTGTGGTCAGGCTGATGCTATCATGATCAAAAAAATAAAATTGTTAACCTAAGTAATTATTGATAAAATTGCTAAACATAATCAAATAAACTATAAAGTGTTAAACAAAAAAGAAAGCACGAGTCTATATCTTTTTTGAGCATCTGAACTGAAATTTGATTCGATGCGCACATCTGAGAATTTAATTATAGAGTATTAAAGAAGATATATTCCGATCCCATCGCAGTTTTATATATGCCGTCCAACAATTGGTTATGTGGCAATTTATGGGGGCAAATCCAACAGTATTACTCTTGCTTACTCTCTAATTATCCGAATCCTGTTTATTCCACTTCTCGTTTATCGCAAATATATAACACTGTATGCGTATATATATTCTTCGTCCAAATCCAAAACTACAAAAACAAAAAAAGTTATTACTTTCTCTTTAGTTAGTAGTATATAACTGTTTTATTTAAGGGGGCAACTATTTTGAATACTAATTTTTGCTTAGTTGAATACTACCTAGTTGAAAACCACAATTGAGTACATATTTTTAAGTTTTTTCTTACTTTAAAACCAAAATAAAAAGAAAATTACAAAAACACCCTTTCATACAAAATATCAATTATATCAAATTTTATTAGAAATTACCTATTCAAAAACCAAATAAAAAAAAAAAGAAAAAAACCCTTTGTTGTTAAAAAAAAAAACCTCCACCATTTCTTCTCCTCTCCAACCCTGACCGCCGCCGCCGCCGCCGACGCCGCCGCCGCCGAACGCCACCGTACGTGCTCGTAACTGCCGCGACAACCCAATTAAACCCTATCTTTTTCATCTTCTTAAATCCTTTTCAACACCTACTGACTACTAAATCCTGTTTAAAGTATTGAAAGTTTTAGGGAGACTGTCTGAATATGGACACAACATTGTACGTATATATAGTGAAAGAAAGGCAGCTCAAACCAAAAGCCATTTTCTGTCTTCGAACAAAATTCCTTTTCAACACCTACTGACTACTAAATCCTAGGCCAACTTTTTTTTTTACAATATTCTTTATTTTTTTAATTGTGCACATTGTTGATTAAGCTTGTTTAGATGCTGCTAATCATAATCTAATTACGGCTTATATTCAAAATGGTTTATCCGCAATTAAATAATCTTTTACACAACAACTACTGTTATATTGCATTATATTCTTCCTTGCCTATATTTGTATAATATTAATTAATTCATGTTTTTTTATATACACAATCAAGAAATCCGCAACTAACAGTATATGTTCAATCGGGAAATCTCCATTGCATATATAATGATTAAATGTAACCGTCTTTACGAAGCTCAAAACACACTAATCGTGTCCCGTTGCCGAGTAGCCCAGCCCGTGTATATGTTATTATTGATTTTTTGGAAAAACAAATTATAAGAAAAAAGGATTATTACAAAAAAAGAAATAGTAGAATATACAAGCATGGAACATCCATAATTTAGTGTTGGTTGAGAGTTGAGAGAGTTGAAGGGGTAATTGGGAAGGGACCCAATTGAGGAAACATAATTCCGAAGTTTGATCAACACACACACACACTCGTGCCCTAAATTCGATTTCCTTAATCATTACCTCTCCCACTAATCTAATTTTTTCAAATTTCCCATTATTATAATATTATTAGTGGGATATATATGACGATATCTAAATCACAAAATATGCCCTTCTTTTATATGGTTTACACCATGATATCCACTTCCCTTCACCAGTCAAAACTCATTTAATTAGTGGACTCACTATCAATAAATAGCATATCAAACTTATACTTAATTAATTAACATAAAGTTTAAATCCAACTTTATTTTCCCTAAATGAGGGACTTTTTTCTTATCATGTTGAGTCTTGAGAGTTAAATATATTTCTTAATAATAATTTCTTATTGATCATCGGCTGGCTCAGAAAACAATGGGGTTTTCGCTGGAGGGCCTTTACGTTTCATCTTTTTTCTTTCTGCCCCTTTACTTTCGATATATTATTATTATTATTATTATTATTATTATTATTATTATTATTATTATTATTATTATTATTATTAAAATACAATTATGGAAAATTTGAAATCGAGAAGTTAAATAAAACTACGTATAACATTAGAATTCCTTTTCAACAACAAATTTGAAAATATTTGACTTGCACGCACAAATAATGTCAAATGTGGCATGCACAAACAACTATTATGAATTTTGGTTACAAAATAGTTCAATAATATATTTGGCTAATTATAATTTCTCTTTCTAAGCAAACTTTTTAAAAAGTAGGAAAATATGAGAAAAAAAAGAGTGGCAAGAAAACTAGTAAAATGACGAGGATTGCAATAAAAGACATCAAGGCTTTTCTTTTTCTTCACTTTGGTACTATTGTCTCCCTACATTTACGACAAGTAAAGTAATTTTGATAATATGTTGTCAAATTCAATTATAGTGAAGGCGTGCATGTATGTTCCTATGGAGGAAATATCAAATTATGATATACTCTTCAATACTTTATTCACTTGAAAAACTCCAAAATATATTTTGAATTTTTTTATAGGCTTGAAATTGAAACAAAATTCTCGGATTTCACTGATTTCGAAACAATGAATTTTGAAATAATAATCTCTAGGTTTTTTTTTTTTTTTTGTGCTAGCGAAGGAGAATCTGACTCAAACTAACTGAGTACATAACTCTAGTCCCAAAAACCGACTAATGTTTTGGACCTAGAATTATAAGACAAAAGACATAGTAGACTCTCCTTAAATTATTGTTGGGAGCCCAAAGAGATAACATGAACTTCACATTGATATAATATTGTCCAATCTAGATCAAGTCCAATTGATTTTGCTATTGTGTTTCCCCCAAAAAGCCTCAAAATAATAGAGTTGTTTGCTCCTCAGCAATTATTAATCTTGCTTAAATAATAATTTATATTGATCTCGATTCAGTGACAACGTATTAACTCTTTAATTAAACTATTTAATTTTTTACTAAATTAATATAATTTTGTTGGTCTTATTTATATTAATTTATGGATGTTTACGAGTATAAAACAAAAACAAAAATGAAATTGAAGGCATTTTAGAGGAGTAGGACAATATGTATGTATGGGGTGGGGGGTGGCTTGAAAAGGAGCCGATGAAGCCCATCAATCGAGGGAGAAACCAGGCAGGCCACAAAATCTCTCGATATATTCTCACTCTACCAAACGAAGACCCACAATCGAATCATTAATGGAAATACATTAAAAAAATAAAAAAGAAAAAAGAAAAAGAAAAGGGAATTTGAAATTCTCACATAAAAACTAATTAATTCACACACTGACACACTCACGCAGCTGTTTAAAACTTTATATATATATATGTATGTGCTTCTTTAATAGCTGCAGAAAGTCCTCTTTTTCCTCCTTTTCCTCTTCTCTCTCTCACTCACTCACTAAGCTCCTCCCTCCCTCCCTCCCTCCCTCCTCTGTAACAACTAGTATTAGTAATAACTCTCTCTCTCTCTCTCTCTCTCTATATCTTCTCTCTCTGGGGAAGAGACAGTACAGTAGAGTATATATATATATAGAGAGAGAAAAAGAATCCCTTTATATAATATTTGTTTTTTCTCTGGACTATCGCCGCCTTGAGCCGCTAGCTGCAGAAGATTTTAAATAGAGGCGCATTTGGTTTTATGGCTACAGGGATTTCTCTCTAGAGGACTGATCACTGCTATAATTATTATTTCTGGGCTTGCATTTATTAATTAATTACTGTCTTTCTTAAAATCTGTCCAAGTGAAGAAAGTTTTCAACTGTCACTCTTTCTTCAGTATACATATAGAAACAGAGATCCCCTGTTCAAGGACGACAAGACTCATCAAACAAGCAAAGGTAAAATTTCATAAAGCGAGATTTTAGATTTTTCTTTTTGTTTGTGATTGTTTTTTTTTTACCCTTTGGATCTGAGGAATTTTGGTGGGCTTTCGTGTTCTTGGAACAAGCGAATCATTTCTTTTTTGTCCCATCGTAGTGTCTTCTTCTTCTTTTTTTTTTTTTTCTTTTTTTTCTTTTTGTGTGTTGTAATCAGATCTGTTTGTGCCTCAGATAATCAGATAGTAGTGAAAATTGAAGACAATGTTGAGTCAGAAGCAAGCAGAGGAAGCGATTGTCTCCAGCTACGATGAGACGTCGGCTGAGAATGATTGCGGCGGCGGAAAAGAGGAGGAGAAGGCGGAAGATCAGCCCATATTCAGTATCAGTAATGCTCTCTGGCACGGCGGTTCAGCCTGGGATGCCTGGTTCAGTTGTGCTTCTAATCAAGTCAGTATACAAATACTTTGATACATACATAAATATGCAAATATATTCATATTGTCTGAATTAAATAATAAATTTGATGATATATTTCCGTACGTAGGTAGCACAAGTGCTGTTGACACTACCATACTCGTTCTCACAACTAGGATTGCTATCCGGGATAGTGTTTCAAATATTTTACGGATTGATTGGAAGCTGGACTGCTTATCTTATCAGTGTTCTTTACCTTGAGTACCGAAGCAGAAAGGCCCCGGAAGGTGCTAGCTTCAAGAACCACGTCATCCAGGTTTCTTTAATTAATACACTATATAATTATT